TACGTACGGTTTCAGTTCAACCTAGATGAAAGGACTTACGTAAAATGTTTGGCTTCAATCAAGCACAGAAAACTTATGACACAATTCCAAATTATTTTGTTATAGTATGTAATTTTTCGCTTTGATCTGACAATCAGCTGAAAACCGATCCTGTCAGCTTCTCGTATTAGTGGCTGTAGATTGGCATAAGCAATTCTCGCGTCGGGAAGACAGTCTTGCTAGCGATTAACACAGCTTTTGCTATCCTCAAAATGCTTTATACCATTGCCATCCTCGAAGTGCTTTCGAGTCCTGGGCCTTTCATATTAGAGGGGGCTCCGACAGGGTATTGAGTCATGATTACTCACTATTTTATGCCGTTTGTGAGGCGATCGCTCCTTGAAGGGTGAATCAGGGATGTCATTTCTTAGATACAGCAACTATAATTATCAGTAATGTAAGATTTTAGTGTTAAATTAAAACTTTTCGAACTAAGTTTTTAACAGTTTTGCTACAATTGTTCAGCTTTCAGTACACCTTTAAATAATACATTCCACTTATTTATTCTCCCTTCTTCCTTAATTTCTGCTTTTAAGTGATCAGACATAGACATGGTGAGTAGAAGACGTGCTGACAATTTCCATTCCTACCTGCTGGCAGTGCTTTGCCTGTGTTTACAGCTAAGAGATGAAACACAGTCCGCTCTTCAATATGCTCAGCAGTACATATGATACTAAGATCTATTATCTCTGATTTTAATATTATGCATCCCCTTTTCATTAAGCTGTGCGATTCTCGACTTCGATTTCTATAATTCTGCGCAGAATGATTTTTAGAAAAAAGACCTAAAAATGATCAGTATGTTCCTGTAGTAATATGCAGATTTTTGCTAATCTTCAAAAAATTACCCGTTTCTGAATGCCCGCATGAGGTATATATATAAAGCCCGCACGTAAAGCAGCAACAAAGGCTTGTTCCGTAGCGAATGTGACACGAGCTGCACCCTTTGGATACTCTAACTCGGGATCAATTGCAAGCCCAACATAACTGACCTGTCCACACATTTCGTTGAGAATACGTGCAAGGTCACCTTAAAATAGAAATTATCATGAAGACTAGAATACAGATATAAATGTTGCAGTCCCTTCTGGTACGCCACTGTGGCGACACACTTGCTTCATAGTTTTAGCGCACTTAGGGATAATTTGCACTGTAATTGCGCGAGTCTATCCTTTGTCCTTGCTTGTCTGTCCCTTTTTTTCAGAAGTTAAGGATTTTTTCGGAAATGACACTTAATATGGAATTCAGAAGTTGCGTACCTGAAACAGTTGAGTTACAAGTGAAGTATGAAATTTGGAGTTGACTTTCGATAAATTGCACAGCATTTTTGTATACACACACAAGCATACACGCATGCATGTGCTTACCCGCATATATGTACACACACACACACACACACACACACACACACACACACACACATGCGCACGCAGGCATACACCACACATATTTGCACGCTCATGTGCATATGCATGTACATACACTTACAAGCACATACACGCACTACATGCACACACATATACATATATCTACAAATTCAACAATACGCACACGTACACATACGCATACACACACGCTCTCATGTATACACATGCAAGCGCACCAAAATATATGCACATAGTGTGCCTGCGTTAAAAAAGCCGCTGCAGAATTTTCCAAAAAGTTACTTCGCTAATTCGGTCTAGCACGCCCCCTCCCCTCGTCCCTACTGAAATAGATAGATTTCACAAATTTTCACCCATGTACAAAATGGAAAAGGACTAACTGGCTTTAGTTGGGCGCGGGACGCCACCGATAAAAATTGTGCGTTTTGTGCTGACCGGTACTCGATCACAAACCATGTATTCCGCATCGCTCAGACGCCATGGGCGCACTTGCACCTGTCCAAACATCAGTGATTAATTAGACAGAAGGTCGAATAAATAGTTTTTCTTTGCATGAAAATGGGCAATTTTGCATAATCATGAGTTAAGTAACGCACTCATGTTGGCTCTAAAGAACAGAAACAAATTTGTCCATAAATAAAAGCCCAACTTTCAAATGAGCTGTTTTTTTACGTGACATAAATATTAAGACCATAGGCAATGGATATGAATGCAGCAAATTACTGGTAGTGCAGGTTCACAAAAGAGGTCAAAAAATAGACTCTTTCAGCTCGAAATAAAATTCCGTCGAGGGGAATTATGCTTCGGAGCAAAAATACGCCTTCTTTCCCCGCCTGATCGCTATTTCTTATCTAGTTAGTTTTATAGATAATTTTTTCCTTTCGTTCGCAGTGGTTGGCGCAATTTTTTTCATATTGCACTTTTTTCCCGATTTTTTAATATTCCTGCTGAATTGACGTATCTTCCTGCGGGCCAAAGCAGTTATAAATTTTAGTGATTCCACCTACATATGCTGATAAAAGTACTGGGAACCG